TCGTGCTGATCAAGAATATATATACTTTATGGGGTCTGCGATGATTCCTTCTGCCCGTTACATACTTTTACACAAAACCATTATACCCTGATTTCCCATTTTCAATGGGTTCAGGGTATAAAAATGACGAAATATTCGATGATCTTTCAACGTTTAAACTATATTTGCTAAAAATAAAAGTACTTGTTTAAAAATTTTTAAAAACATTTTTAATATGATTAACGCCACAAAATGAAATCAAATTGTTGCTGTAAGCCGGAACATCTTAGTTTAGTGAGCAACGGTTAACTTCGACTGTTAGTTAACAGAGGCACGCTCTCTCGCTAACATTGTGCTCCCAAAAAGTATGCAAGGCATACAACGAAAAAGGGAATGTGAATTAGTCGGTTTGTGTACGCGCCGGGGTTCAGTTGTGTTTATGTTTCGGGTGTGAGCGTTGGCATATTGCAAAATTTACCGTTAGCATTTACGTGCGCCGGCAGGAGCAACAGCAAGCAAATATTTGAATGTGCCAAAGCTGTTAGTATCGCTGGGTCTCTCGCTATCTCTCTGTCCCTCTCTCTCAAGTGCCATAAATTAAATTGTGCTTAAAAAAATTTTAAAGCCCGCCAGCATCACCCTGTGAGTGAATTGGCTTCCTGCATTTGTGTATGTGCTTGTGCCTGTTCGTGTATGTGTTTGTCGCTTTTCACATTGTCTCGCATTCGCGCGCGCAATTTGGCTGCCGGTGTATTGTGTTAATCTGAGTGTGTGTGTGTGTGTATCTGTGTATGTGCTGCAATTTGCACCCAAATGATTTACCGTTTGATTGCTATCAACGCTTGCCGCAATTATGTTTTAATTGTCGTTAAATGGTTTACACACAACGGGATTAGCTGCAGCCCTTTGCGACAGGTGAGTGTCAACTCCCCACCCCTTTAGCTGTTACTCACCTGGGCAGCATCTCAAAAGTAAATTGAATTCGAACTAATCCCGCATGCACAACGGCCCACAGACTATAAAAATATTTACGAGCAAATATGCTCTACAAGGGAGATGCCACGCCGTAAAAAAAACATATGTTTGGGCACACTTTTTTTGGTATACCCTGTAGGTATGCGAAAAATCCCGTTCGTTGTCCTCTTTTAGTCAGCATTAAATATTATAAAAAAGATGTTTGTATACCCAGTAAATATATTTATATCCTGTAGGAATGAGGGGTGGAATGGGGTGTATATATATGAGAAATTTAATTTCAATAATTTTATAGTGTTTATGATTTTGATCAGAGCTTTCAAATAAATCGAGCTTAATACCCTTTAGAATCGGGTTTTAACGGCGCTCAAGCGACCGTTATACCCGGAAGACGCTATAACCATATAAGGTTGGTCATAAAAGTTTGTTTGGGAGCCCGAATTTTTGTACAATTTAACCGTACTACGCTATTAGCGGAGTATTTTTAACCGGATTCTACTGTATAGTAAATATGAAACTTGATGAGTGCTAAGATTTTTTGATATACTCGCAGGGTTTTTACTACAGGGCATCTGCTCGTCGGGCACCTTCCCAGTAGTGCACTCTTCCTTGGCTTATGATCAGTGGCGGGGCATCTAAAAATTTGCCAGCGCATGAATCATTGCGCCTGCCCCCAATGCGTAATATGAGACGCGTCTGTAAAGCTTACAAGTGAGTGCGTGTGTGCGCGTGTGTGTGTGTGTGTGTGTGCGTGCGTGGAGGATTTGAACTGGATGCGCTTGGCATAATAATGAAATAATAATGTCGCCTTTTGTTGTGAGGTGTCTCTCAGCCGTTGTGGCAATAAATTAATGGGCCTGCCACATAAAAAGCGCCCCATACGCGCAGGTCCTTTTTGCGGCCGTTTGTTTGATTACAGCCTCTCACATGACTTTCGCGCACCAGTTATGACTGGGGCAGATGGAAGTTGTTGCAACGACGTCAGCTGTTTTCACAGCAGCAGCCGCTAAGCTCGAAAGATTAACATAAATATTCTGGTTCACGCTGTTGTCTCATGATGGGCACAGAAGCTGCTGATAAAATGCTAATCACACAAACAATGTTGCTGCGGCAACAACAACTAAAGCAGCGGCAGCAGCAGCTTCTACAAGGATATGCCACACGCAACCGCTGTGTCCCTAACATTTTTTTCTTTATTTTGGTGGTAGCAAAAAAAATCATCTTGAGAAACTTTTGCGCTTTCCACTTAGACAAGTTGGGTTTCTTTTTTAGCATGAGAAGTTGCCCTATGAAGCAATCAACACTTTGTCACACAGCTTGTTATGTTATTTCAAGCTGTTAAGTAGAATGTTAAGCAACAACATGGTAAATTTGATTACAAAGTTAGTTCATTTCTACATACATACATACATGGTTTGAGCTCACTGCAACTCGAGCCATCTGGCTATTCTCAAAAATTCTTAAATATGAAATTTATTAATACCTACATCAAATCAAAGTGTTTTTTAAATGTTTGCTCGAAATGTATTTTATTAAAAGTTGAATTTCACCAAATCTTTTTACCGTTTTAGCTACGATTTCTTTAATGGTTCCAATAATTAAAAAAAAACTTCTTACGAACGAGGTTTAAGTTTCGCTTATAGAGTATCTAAATGACGGCATCGCTCACTACCTTTCTATAGTAATTCTTTCGTTCTGCAGCTATACTTTGAAACATTTTTGATTAGCTCAAAGTTTAAGGGTGCGTGTGTGTGTGTGTGCAAAGGGGCTGGAGCTGGCGCTGAGGCTGAGGCTAAGGCTGGGGATGCTTTAATTTTTGTTTAAACTTGACAGAAACACCTCAGGCCTTCTACCCGGGTCGAGTGTCTCTTTGTGGCTTTGACAGCCTTTGTTTTTGTGACGGGGGCGTTTGGCTACTTAACCGATAGGTTTTTGGCAGCAGCATCATATATCCTTGTTAATTTGTCTAAGGGTAGCTGCTTGTTTGCTTCAACTTGTACCTGCTTTGTGCCCTCTCATGTTCATAAATCATTATAATGCATTTTGTTCGAGACAAGTTGTCGCTCGGTCAGTTTATTGTGTGTTGGTCAGCTCAATAACTAATTCATCAACCTCATAGTCATCTTTATCATCGTCGTTATGAGTTTGAGTAATGACAGAGAACAAGAGTCATGACCTGAACAATGGAGGGGAGACTAAAGGGATATCCTTATGTATTATGGCTAGTCACAAAATTCATATTATTTAAATGATTATATTGTTTTCCAATTATTAAGATATATTTAATATGATTATTTTATTTATTTCACTCATTTTAAAATTAACCTTTTATACTCAAGTATTAGATCACTAGTTAGTAAGTTAAAGGTAATGATGATTGAGTCCTTAAATAGTCTTTTGACTACTTTGGTGGTTAAGTACCTGGCACAATTTTCCCACTTTATGTATTTGGTGCCCAGTCTGATTTAAAAATATCTGACATAAATATCCTTGCGTTCTTAAGTAAAGTAAAGAGATTTGGTCTTCTCTGGGAGCATTTAAGTGCTTCCTTTCACATACATACATATCTGCAACACGTTGGCCAGATATTCTAGGTTATTATTATTATTATTATTACTTTCTGACAGTCTTTGTTTTTCATTTTAATTTTCGCAGTAAATGCTGCTGGATGATAAACTTTTTGGGAAGGATCTTGACTATTTTTGCGTGACACGTGCATACATTATTAGCATATGATTTGTTATCGCTGGAGTATTAAAAGGTAGTTTAATTATTTAAAGCTAACATAAACATATGTTATTTGTATACATATTAAATTTAATTATATTAGTTTTCTTATTCCATACCCTATTTCGGTCTGCTCATTAAATTTTGCTGTATTGGCTGAGAATGAAATAAATTCGTTGCTCAAACATATCATATCACTATGTTCCTTTTGTTTATAAATGAGTAATTTCTCTAAGAGTAAAATCTCCAGATTTATCTCTGTTTTACTAGCGATTCAAGACCAATAGCTAATATCTGAACATATCGACCTGCTGTCTATTTGTGTTCCAAATCTCCTAACTCCAAATATTAGCAGGAGACAGGCGACCCATTAATCACCTCACCATTAAATATTGACATCTTAACAATCTGAACGTTCTTATCTTAAAGTTTAAAGTGCTCCACACTTAACTACTCTTAAGTCCTCAATTGGGCTCATATTTTATTTAAGCGAAAGTGTAAAACGAGAGAAAATAAGACACAGACAGCGAGAATCGAGCTGTGCGGAGTTGAGTTGAGTTGAGTTCAGCAAAGCGTTTTGCTGCAATGGATTTATGCGTCTTTTGATAACTAATTCCCTTTGGGCGACTGTCAACAAGGAGATAAACTGCTAGGCAACTGCCAGAAGTCCAGTCGGAGGCACATGTGAAGAAAAGGAAAAGTTTCTTTTTTAAGGAAGCGACTTAAAGCTGAAGTGCCAGCAGTTGCTCAATAAATGGGAATGACTGGCAGAATGACAGACTGACTGTCAAATAGCTTGACTAAATGCTCGACTGTCAGTGAGGCTGACACTCATATTAATTCGCTGTTAAATAGCAACCCTAACGGCATTTGTCGAGGGTTAACGCCTAGCCAAATGTGCAGAAAAAATGGCCGAAAACAATTTGAGGCAATCAGCTGCAGAGTACGTGACACGAGCTACCCAAGCAACTGGCCAACTATTGATAAGAGAGCCAAGCCAGACTCCAGGAAAAACTTGCAGAAGAACTTGAGCAAAATGTTGTGCAAATGCAAACAGCTGCTGCTGCCCTTTGGGTCCATGTCAATGACCTCTCGGCAAGCACGTGAGCCAAGTGTAGCGGCAAATGAGCTAATTTACTCGAATTCCAGCTCCTTGGCGACGGACACATACACGTGTCGAGCAAAAAGTCAAGAAATTCAATTGTGAACATAAATCATGCCACACGGCAGATGCACACGCAATCAGCTGTTCTTGTCACCGAACCACTGCCAAATCGCAGTGCCAGTTGAAAGGGAAATGGCACGGGATGCCATCGTGGAGCATGTCAATCAAGCCACAAGAGCAAGTGCCTGCCGGGAGCCAAGGGTTGAGCTCTAGCCTTAAGCCATTCAGCCACAACAAGCTCGCTGAAGTATGCTCAAAGATACCCTGTAATTGACATAGGTATTTACTCAAGAATATACAAACAGACATTTCGAAAGAAATCATTAAACCTTCAAGTTTCGATTTTTGTATTCATACATTTAGATGTATTCATACCTAATGAAATTATTTTTAAATAATTTATTATCTGTATGTTATTTATTCATATATAAGTCCCACTTCTCAATTCAAATCAAGTTTCAGATGTGAAAGTGAAAAGGTTTTTAAAGTGTAAAATATTAAATAAAAGTTTATTTGAATTCATTTTATGCTGAATTCAAGTAATGGAAAATGAAACCGTTTTACTTCGTAAGATATACATATATCATTTCCATATATGTAATCTACATCTAGGCCCATTTGTTCTATCCCTTAAATGGAAATCTAGATTAAGTACTGTTGCCCACTTTTGTGCCCACCTTTTCTGAAGATCAAAATGCATAGAAAAGATTTCGAATTTCGGAGCCGTCATAATTAATTTGTTTTTGGCAATTTTAGAGATATGCACTTTATCAGACTCCCCGATTGGCCTGCTCCACGGGGTATACGACTGCAGAAACGTACGATTTATCGATGGCTTCCAATGTAGGCGATAATTTATTTAACAATGTGTGGGCGACGAACCTTCGGCCCGGCTGCTGTTGCCCTTGGCTGGTCCTGGCTATTGAGACGTAAGCGCTTGAAGCTCGAACCAGGGCTAGAACAAAGAAAAACGAAGAGAAACGTTTTTATCTGCCGCAGCATCGCACTCCTTCTATTTGCCAAGTGCAAATTGCAAAATGATATTAGA